ATTTTGCGCAGCGTATACTTCTAAATATCCCTCCAATCCATAAGGATGCACCGATTTGTTGTAACGACTCAACCTACCAACTCTTATCGTCTTAACTGGGTTTATTTTGCGGCTTAATATCGGAGAAGCTAACTTAGTCGTGCATTAATTCGTTGTCCATCATGGTGACTCTTATGAAATTCTTTCTACCAGGAATTGGGTATCTCAATACCTAATCAGTTAAATTACTAACTGACAATAAAAGTTCGAACCTATTCGAAAAAAAATTTTTCGTAAAACTATACTTATGAAGAAATCAAAAGCTTCTGTAACAAGAAGTCGCTCCACAAACTCCTAGCAGTGGAGAAAGATCGTCTTTGGCGCAGATAGACTATGATATGGGATGTAGCACACAAAAAAGGAAAGACAATGAGAAGAGTGATCGAAATCTTTGCGAGCGCAACATACTGTTTTCCACTCTGCTCAAAGGAGACCTGAAAGACGCAGCTGCGATGATGTAAAATCGGTAATCATAGATTCCATACAATTTGTTGCTTTTTAATGAGCAAACACGAGTGTTGGCTCTAATTATTTATTCAAAGGATAAAGGATAAGACTGTCGGCGTCGATCAATCCACAAAGGATATGAAATGCATTCATCAAGCAACGCTAGACGTGTATGAGTGCATATTTAACCTTTACAACGACACGGGATGGCCTAGTTGACGGTCCTGGAGGGATGGAAGGATTGGTGAACCTTTGGCAGAAGAATCGATCCAATGTATACTGCAGGGCGCCTCCGACCACTGCGCCACGTGCGCCCTATTATGCATTGTTATTTCTTATTTATTTCCATTGTTGCCATTGTTACATTATATATTGAATAATAAAATAGTCGACATTTAAACAGTTTCGCCATCTTAGGAACATAGAAAAGTTGAATTTACATCCAATCTATTAGGTCACCCAGTTGCTGGCACACCCACATATTATCTCATGAACACTCAAATGTTCCAAAAACGCTTGCGTAGCGAGCCTACTAAACGGATCGTACGTGATAGAATCCTTCGATGTTACCACCCTTTATACAAACTTGTCGAATGACTGAGCTACGCAAGCCACACGCAAACTCCATGTGTAACACAAAGGAGTAATAAACATCTATGGTTTCTCCATTGGGCAGCTGATCGTCCTTGTAAGGGAGTGGCTAAGCTGTTACACCTTCAAATGGTCCGGAATGTGTTTCGCACGAAAGAAAGGTTGGACAATTAAATAGCGGCCTGTATCCAAGCCTTGCGATTGCGTTTATGCCTAACGTTGAAGCTCCGTACTTCGACGTCCAGTCACTACTCTAGTGTAGGCAAATCGGAGACTGTTTTATCAACGGCTCAACACCGGAGGAAGTGAGCACGCGTTTTGAATTGCTAAACTAACAGTCAGAGTACACAAATTTTACTGGAGGGAAACCGTAGAAAGACTGGGTTCCGTTCATCAACGTTTAAATCAACCTGTCTGAAAAAAGGCTACGCCTTCAAATAACACCGCAAGCCAAGTAACAAGGACATGCTAGTTCACTACCTCTCCTCTCAACCTTCACACACTAAAACCGCACTTGTGAGAAACCTGTTTCGTACAGCGGCGAATGTGTGTACAAAGAGATATCAGAAGGAGGAATCTCTGGATGTGAAAGAAAGAAACCATTTCCAATGGCTACGAAGCGGTAGCTGCTCGGAATAGCTTTAGGGAAAACAAGACACACAAAACGATAAGTCCAGTGAAACACCGTCTCTCTTTATTTGGAACGAAATATGTACAACCAAAACGTTGATAAGAAAGAGCGAGTCTAGAGATTTCGAAAGCAATGATGCAATTTTGCGTTTCGCATAGACGGTCATAGAAACAGTTACGAACTAGCTGGAATTTGTTTTGGAGTGTTTGTCGGTATTCCAGTCATTGTTACCCACTCATGGACCGGCCATTTTAAAGCAGCGTTCTATCGGCGTGATTTTTTCATTTGAAACAAGAGGCAAGATGAACGAGACCCAATTTTCGCCAGCCTTCTCGTTTCAGCGCGTCTTTTTTCCTCTGGCCCTATTCCGACCAGCTATCGCTTTGTAACCATTACAAATGGCTACTTTTCGCGGCAAGTCCAAAGATTCTTCCTTCCACTCTTTTCTTGCATACACTGGTGGCTATACGAAGCATGTTATTAACAAGTGCCCTTTTAGTGTGTGAAGGTTGAGAAGAGAGGTAAGGAACCAGTATGTTTTGGTTACCTGGTTTACAGCACTACTTGGTAGTGTAGCTATTTTTGAACAGGTTAATACGAACGTTCAAAAACAGAAGCCTGTCTTTATTCGATTTCTCCCGGGTGAAGTTTATGCACTCTGACTGCTGGTTCAAAGTTCAGCTGTACGCCTAAATAAGTCGGTAGCAGTGAATAAAATACCACAAAACAATCTCAGACGCCAGCTAGTTCGTAACCATTTAAACCATTTGTGTGACGGTCTATGCACAACGCAACATTGCATAATACCCCTAGTCGTAGAGAAAGCGATTGCAAGCCCTCGAGCACCGTGTACCAAACCTCCTGTGAAGGGTGTGGGAAAGGATATATTGATGAAACCGGTAGAACGCAATGCGTCCGCATGAAGGAATACCTAAACGGGAAATTCAAACTGAAGCCCAATGATGCTTTTCCAACCGACCGTCATTTAACCTCGGCATTAATGAGATCAATACCTTTTTAAATCATTAAGCTAACATAAAGGTGTCCATTCAGCTGATGTTTCGACGTCTTCATCAGAGTTGATTATCCGAGTCGATAGTCTTACAGGCGCTCGTCTTCTCGATGTAGTGTGTTCGTCGTCGTACCGGCTCGATTCATCTTCAATAGTGCATCGCTCTAATGAGGCAACCTCACCAGGCATCGGTCTTTTATACAGAACGATCCTTGTCGATAATAGTTATCCGTTGACAATAACTTGTTTTCCAACGGATAATCCATCCTGGATCAACAGGTGTTATGCTAGCTAGCACATAGCGAGTAACAAAACAATTATGTTTTTCAAGTCGGCCGTCATTTAATGACATCAATAATAGTCAATACCTTCCCGGATCCGTTAAAAAGCAAATTGTTGTAAATGGATTACTCAGTTAAAAAAAACAATCGTCCTGTATACAAGAGCGCCGACGGGTGAGGTTGCCTCAATTGGGCGGTGTGACGAAGGTTCGACTCGATACGACGACGAAGCCATCACATCAGGAAGACGAACGACTGTAGGCCATCGACTCGTATCATGGGTTCCGGTGAAGACCTCGAAACATTAGCGGAATGGGCATATTTATCAACCTCCTCTTAACTTAATAATCCAGGGAGGTATTGAAAACAAATATTCCACTGAGTGCGAAAAGTACAGAGAAATAATGGAGATTTTGAAGGAGAAGTCACCATACTCGCATGGGAATTGAATGAGAAGGGAAAAGATAGTAGCGAATTTCAATCGGAAGGAACCAAATCAATACTAGGCAGGAAAGCACACTATCGTAAATGGAATCACCCACTGACCACTGGATGAGAAGAGGACGTCTCACGTTTAGCTGATTCGTCCAGTGAATATGAAAAACCATTTGAAAGAAGAAATCGGTATTAAGGAACGAGCGACGAGAGCCACCTTTGAGCCAGTGGAAGAAACCAGTGATCAGTGTTTATGATACTGATCGATGTTTTCACCTTTTTGTCTAAACAGCTCTTCTAGCTCTGTGTTACGAAACGAAAACAGAGGTTTATGCCATGACTACATCGAAAAAGTCCATCGGTGTACTCAGTGTTTCCTGATGATCAGCCAAGATACTCAATGCCCTTTTGCTTTCAAATTCTTGCATTATAAATACTTTAACCTTTTTAGCATTTGCTTTTATGCAGCGCATCATCCCAGCTTACTTACTTGGATAATTGAATGACCCGCCTCCACTGGTTGTGCGGGCTTCGGCATAATTTCCATTCTCCGAAGATTTCCTGGCTTAGCCTTTGTGGTTCCCTGGAGTCTCGAGAACAACCATGCTAGGTCTGACCAAGGTCGTCACCACCACAGGCGGTCGCAGCCCTTGTGGATCAGATGGAGATTTGCCACCATGCGACTGGTTTGATACCAGGACGGTGGTGAATCGTCCTAATGAAAACTTTGGACTTCTTCTCAGCTAGGGAGGCGCTGCTGGCGAGAGGAATCCGCCCCTGTACATCACAGCGCAACACCCAGGAACACCTCCCAGCCAAGATGGGGCGGTAAACCTTTGGGAGGTAGTTCACGATGTCATCACATCTACTTTCCGAAACCCAGTAGTTCTTGCATTCGATTCGTTTTTCTCCCATTCACCATCCATTTCGAACATTTCGCGTTGCCAGAACCAACTATTTTAAAGAAATACCCCTTTTTGAAACCCAAGGGAATGCATCGCAAAGAATAAACAGCGATGATCAAGAGATGTATATTGAAGAGAGCAGATGAAGGTGAACTGGAAGAGCATCAATGGATCCCGAAGACCAAAAGATTTCGAATAAGACTTCAAGAAAAGAGAATGAACATGCTTGTTGCTCGTAAGACGGCTGTATTCATGAGAAGATGAACTTCTCCCGTTTCGTTACCACGAATCTTCTCATCCGAATTTAACTGCTGCCGCATTCAATGGTCTCATAAAACGAATTGAATGCTGACCGGAACCTGTTCTACATACGAAGCCAAATGATTTAGATATCTTGGCAAACAGTATCCATAATTATTTGTAGTGGATTAATGCTTAATTTATTGCTCGAAAATGTTGACATTTGGAACTGGGAGCTGGGCACGACAGCGAAATTGTTAGTCGACTACGCTTAAATTTGTTAGAGTTGGCTTCCATAGCCCTACTCATTCACTTAATTCTCTCTCCCTAATGGCTGTCTTTTAAACGTTGTGTTTTTTGTTGATAGTTTGCCAAAAATCTAAAATTCGTTCATTATTTATAGTAGTAAAACATTTCACTCAAACCTCAACGCTCCTGGTAAATGGGTCGTAAATGACATCGAAGTTACGTTCCATAGAAAGGGCATAACTCCTGCAAAGATAGCAAATCAAATGTTGAGCAAGAAAATAGCTCAGAAATTTCTGAGAAGCTTACATAGACAGAAATAACCATCACCTGCCTTCCCACTCAACGTTCATGACTTCGGTAGACTTTTTGTTGCTCTACTTTTGTTCTTACGGCGCTCAGAGCTAACAATAGTTTTTTTCGTGGTCTTCGCGAGTAAGTGTGACCTGATTCACAATCTGACTGGAATGATCCGGAATTGCTACTAGCATCATTTCTTAATAGTACGTCCCATAATACTGTATAAATTCCAAGAATCCGAAAATGAACCGCAGGGAGGAATGCCTCGTTATCACGCGTGATATTGGACAGTATATAAACCTGTTATTCTGATGGGAGGGGTACATTACGCTTCCATGTGAATTCTGTGCGGTCGTTCTTCACGCGACATACTCAGTGGAAGACTCATAGAAAGCGGTGAGTGTGCAGAGCTATGCTAAATGTGATTGAAATCTTGGTTTAGCATTTTCTCTGTTTGATTATGGAGGTGTTTGGCCGAGTGGATTGCTGTCAACTTGACCCTTTCAGGCTCTGAGGAAGGCGAAATCCGCCGAAACGTCAGCTTGTGCTTAAATAAAGAAGTAAAATAGCACCTTGTGCTTGCTGAACAGAAGTAGAAAGATATATTCAATCAATGCCGAGTTTAATAGAAAGTCGGACTTGGGAGTTACTGTATGGTACACTGTTAAATGTAGCCGAAGTAGACTAAAAGTTTCCACGGCGCTCAGTAAGAAAAATGATGGGGTGAAAAATGTGTAGCTTTCTCAACATCCCGGTTACCCTTTTAAATCGTAGGCAGTCCTCTTAGATTTGCTTTGGTCTAGAGCTAAGTCGTCTCCTGTGCAGAGTTCTCGTCGTCCAAGTTCACTGCTCTGGGCAGACACGTGTATTCTGAGATAATCGTTCCACAGGTGCCAAATTGGTCAGCATTTGTTTGGTCCATGTAATGCTTGATGTCGCAAGAACAATGTTGTTACTAAGGTGAAGGCAGAGTGGCTTCAGACCATGGACCTTTTGTTCTTTTTTATCCTAATTCAGCGTTATACGAAAGTACGACGTTTCCACGTGAGTGAACATTAAATCTCCTAATTGGAAAGGAGCACTTCTGGAGTTATGAGGCACTGTCAATGGTCGTACTAAACTGAGGCAGCCTCTCAACTTGTTTACTCCAAGCTAATTCTCACCATCTCCGATGCACTTCTCTTTAGATGCGTTTCGCCAAAATGGCGTACAGGATGCAATGTGGATTTGTGTAAGCATAACAATGCATGTGTGGATGAATCTCGCAGTATGTACCGACGGTGCGCATCATTCCTGTACAGGAAAGACAGGTAGTCCATCCTTCGAATCCACCTGTATTGGGTGGTAGGTGTATGCCGATTTCAGTCTGTCTTTAAGCTCTTTGCGCCGCAGGGTAATGCTCCAGGTACCACGTAATTAATCAACTGGGAAGACTCTCCTCGAGAGAGAGAGATCCTTTAAGCATCATAATATAACGGTTACTGAGGCAAATTTACCAATAGAATGCATAATTTGGAAAGCACTCTTTGGGCTTATGGCCTACTCTTTTATGTGAAAAACCGTAGTCTAATTGCGGCACAAATAAAAAGTGGATTCGATACCTTAGTTTCAGTAGAGCGTCCTGGATGCTGTGAGCGACGAAATAGAGAGGTTGGTAATCGCTATCTTCGTATTGCTGAACGGCAGTCACTGCTGGATCAAAGTCACGATGCTCCGGTTTATCAGAGCACGCATGCTGAAACACGGCATAGATTCAAAGAACGTACTATTTTCTACGATAGGAACGCAATAGACCTGCAACTCTCCATAGGCGGTGACGAGACCCGCTCCGATCGCTTTAAGCCGACCATCTTCTTTGCAGAGACCGAATTCGATAATGAACCAATAGACCTGAAAATGTCCGTGTTTTTTTTTGGCCACATTTAGTTTTTCTTTTTTCCATAGATCGCTCTGAAGTAAAAACACCATCAACTTTGAGGTTGTTTTACCAATTCGAAATGTGCGACATATTCGTTAAGCAGACTTAATGAATAAATAAAATGGCAAAAAAATAGCTGTGAGTAAAGGCTGGTAGCTTGCTGTAGATCTATACCATTTAATTTAATTTGGCCACCAATAATAGACTGGTGCTGTAATAACGGCCAAAATTTAATAGTCTTATAAAGCAACTATGAGATGGTATGCATAAGCCAAGTGAAAATTTTCGCGCAAACGTAGCGTAATGGTTAGAGCAGCCCTACAAACGACATTTGGTTTTTGGTTCAACCGCAGTCCGCGCTAATCAAACCTTCCACCTCTCACAGGTGTTTTTGGCGTGCTGGCTGTGTGACAAACCGATGCTAGGATTCCAGTGAGGATCACTTGAACACACATTTAACAACGTTAGTAAAAGACATTAGAAATACTCGAAAACTCTACGAAGTTTTTGTTGGAATTTCTGAAGTTTTTTTTTCTGAACACAGTTGTCGTGGTTGAAATAACAATGGTCAAGCGACGAGTTTCACGAACGTTTTTGCTGCCGAGTTCTGAAAACACTCCGCACCTCTCGTGTTGTCTTTCGTCGATTTCCTCACAGTACATCGCTCTCTTGATCCTTCTGCGAAAATTCACAAAGCTGTCCATATTAATCTTGCTGTTTTATACTGCAGTTTTATACTGTATATGAGCTCATTACAGTTCATTTAACCTAACAAATCTTTTGGTGCATTGAATTAGCGTCACTCACGTTGGCTAGCTGTTCAATTTGTTCGTCAGGCGCACCCAAACTCATTAAGCCGATATCCTGCAAAAAATCACATTTCTGCGATGGAGGTCAAAATAGTTTCAGAACTTTTGCTCCTAAAAAATCCTCGCCTTCAGATCCCCATTGGATAGCGATGTGATCTCACTGCTAATAACTCATAACTTTACTATTTTTGCTAAGGCTTCGGAATTTTTATTTAAGGATTTTTAATAGTTTTGTATATATATCGCTTATTTATGACGTTATTTTTTCTACCATGATTACCATTGCGCTATGTCGGCTTAGTTGAAGCAAAACTTGACTACAAAAGCTTCGAGTGTGGAACACCACTGATCAATCAGTCTGAATGTTTTGTATGCTTTAATGTTGAGTTTCCACTAGAATGTTCCCGGAAGACCGTTCCAGAGTCAAGGAGCAACGTCATGATTTGGTTTCGCGAACTGCTGCCATGTTGCTAACCTTTCATTCTTAAATTGTCATGCAGCATTTCGTCTGTTATATGGCATTCAACAACCGTAAACAACACTACGACATTCACGGATATGCTGATATATGAACTAAACTCCTGACTCGATGTAGACTTAGCACATGAGCCAGCGGTAAGAGTACGAAGCTCCATATGGGGCCCGAAGTTTTGCTCTTATCTCAGCATCTCCGTTCTTTTATTTCACATCGTACCTAGCCTCAAAAACAGCAGAATTAAGAAATTGTTAGGGCATAGGCTATCTACGCCTTTGGCACTCTTCTTTTGAAAATGAACTGATAACACAATTCACGAACTTGAAAAGGGTTTACCTGGCTCAACTGTGCCACCACTGGATCGGCGAGCATAGGGACGTGTCCGAGCAGCTCATGAATCAAATCCGGTTCTGGTGAATGATGTGGTCTGGAGTTGTGTCGTAAATAGGTAGCTGTCTGAAAAAGCCAGAAAATGCAAAAAACTAGTACCATCATTAAAAACAATATTTGAAAGCTCCCGAAGCATTTGCCGTGTCGTAAATGAAAAGGAACAAGCCTGGAATACACGAAAGGCAAGGCTAGCTAGGAAGTCGCGAGCGGATAGTAGTCCAGAACATGGGCGCAGGATGAAGCCGGTTTTCCCTTAATCATTTGGTTTGCGAAGAAACAGCTGATTATCCGGATTTTTAGATTTCTGCAGTTAGGATCGTGAATAGTTTTCATGGCCCGATTTGTTGCGCTATTTCTAAATGTTCGTCCACCTGTGCTCACTTCTGTTTTTTCGCCAATGTGAGCAATATCTCCACTAGTTCAGTCGAGCACAATTAAGTTGAATTCATTAACATCATAAACCAGAACTGCTGAGCAGTTGCGCTCGCTTATTACCGGATCAAAACCTTTGTCAGTTTGGATGATCGTCCTGGAGCTACGAACATCCATCGTACATTGTAGTTCGACACCCAGAACGCCTTCCCCACTTTTCGACCTAAGGTGTTTCGAGAGCTGGTAGTGCTTCGAGTAGTCGTAATGTTAAAGACGTCAGAAAAATTACCATTTGATAACCGTCAGTATAAAGTTGAGAAAAAATCTTTTTAAAAGCTCACTCTGTAAGAATTCGTTAACATCTCGGATCTGTGGAATTTTTTCCGACGACAGTATACCTTCGTCCTCGAGCTTTTTGATATTTCTCCTAAAAGAAAACAATTTTAAATACATATATTGCTAAGAAACCAAAAGTATTTTCAGGCCAAATTTTCTATAAACTTTGAAAATGATGATTTGTTTTTTTCCATATTTACCCACACGACGGCAAATTTTGCAAAAATGGTTCACACAGAATTCGGGATGGGACATTCTATGATGTTCGCCCTATTCACACCCTATAAGGACGATGTCAACGTTTAGCGTATTTGATCAATTATTTACGAAAGTCTTACAGTGAAACAGTTTGAAAATTTTCGATTAGAACGCTAACTGCTTCACAAAGTGCTCATCGTATTGGTCGACCACTCTGTGAGATGTGTGTAAACACTAAGCACTTAACCGATGAACTACACCTGCTGCAGACTCTGGATTTTGCATTGAGCAAAAAGCCCCCCAACAGAGTTGAAAAATGTCGCCTTTGGCTTCTATGTTGAAATCGTAGCCTTATCAAGGAACGTTGATCTTCTTTGATAAGTTTCAGATAGACAGCTAGAGATGTCACTGCTCATAACTCACCTAATGGAATGTCACCACTTTAGATGATCCAGAGAACTTCTGATAGGAAACGAATGATACCAAGCTTAGCTAATGCATTCGTTACTGAAGTAGAAGGCCCAGTTTTTGAGTTTCGAGCTATTTCTGTGCTTTTTACCATTTTTTCCACAAGAAGAAAGAAATAAATGAAAGTTTTGTAATAGAATGCATAATGAAAAGTCACGATATATCCCCTAATGAAGCGAGTACTTAACGAATTTGCCTGTGATAGGATCGACGCTTAGATTTACGGCTTCATTAGACAGTAGAGAAATAAATAAATAAAATAAGCAGAATGATAGTGTGATCATCTCTAGTTTGAGAACGTTGAAAGGTTTGAAAAACGTCAACCTATTAAGATATCAGGCGAAATCCACTAAAATCTTGTGTTGAAAATCCAAGGTTAATCAGAATTCACAGTATCCAATATAATACTTTGTATAGATAACGGTAAAGTAGCAAATGACGAAGCATCGAAGCTTTTCTAAGGGCTAACCTGTAGGCGGAACAAGTGTGGGTTTCGCGCAGAGCATGCAGCCGCTCGTACACTGCCTTCCATGTCGCGTGTTCTTCTCCTGTGTATTCAACAAGGGGAATCGGATCTCCACTGAATATTCAACAACTAAATGAATGAAACGCTGAATAATTAGAGATCTTCTTTTGCTAACAACAGAAGCTAACAATTTGAACCACATAAAGACTGGGTAATCTGCTATTTTACTAGGAATCCTAATAGTATGGGGCAATCACTTTAGCGATTTTCCTCCACCTAGTAAATACTTTTGGTTTTTCATGTAGCAAATCCGAATACCGACTTTTTCTTAACTTCAGTACCAGTCAAGAATTCACTCATTTCCCCAATGAGCAAACAAGAGTTTTTTATTGCAGTATTTATTAACACTCAACAGCTGACGTTTCACCCGTTTAGTGTACTTCAAAGCCTTAAAGCTACCGTCGGCCCACATGTTTTACGGCTGTGCTTTAAACCAGCAGTTAGAGCACGTAAATTTCATCCGAGAAAAAACGAAGCAAGACTGGCTTTCCATTTTTAACGTTTAAATCAGCCTGTCCAAAAACGGTCAAGCCACCAAATGGTACCGTAAGTCAAGTAACAAAAACACACTGGTTCACCAGTTCTCTTTCCACCTATAATACACAGAAGGAGCACTTGTAAGAAATATTTTCCATACGGCCACCAGTGTGTGTAAAGAAACAGAGCAAGAGGAAACTTTGGACTTGGTAGCCATATCTAATGGCTACGAAGTAATAGGTGCTCGAATAAGGTTTAGGGAAAAAAGACGCACAAAACGATAAGTCTAGTGAAAATAGGGTCCCATTTATCGTGCTATCGTGCATATTTCAAATGAAATAAGCAAAGCCATGAAACGTCGCATAAAAAGTGACGGTTTAAATAAGTGGGTAGCAATGATTCGACTACCACCGAACACTGTAAGACGCCAGCTGGTTCAAAACTGTTTGTATGAACGTCTATACGAAGCGCCATATTGAATAATACGCCCTAACCGTATTGGCGGTGGTTGGGTGAGTCCATCTACGGCGTGCCTGATTTCTTGTAAAACGTGCGGGGACGAATATATCTGCAAACGGAAAGACCACTATGTGTCTGTAGAGAGGAGCACCTCATCGATAAGTTTAAAGCTAAACCAAATACTCCACTAAGGGACACATAGGACACAGACATAACAGAGGTTTTGAGGTGAAAGTCACCACGCTCGCACAGCAACCGAGAACATCAGTGCATAAAACACTTAAAGCGTTTTGGATAAACTTTACAAAATTGAACAGCAAGGAGTAGTGCCTTATGATCGCGTGTGATCTCGCGCCATATTTGAGATCGATTTTCTGATCTGAGTTACACACATTTCTCACTCATGCGAGACTTCGGGCTACTGTTCTCCAATGATAGCCAGAAGGCTTAAGAACAACCAAACACTGAGTGTTTAAGAGAATCTTTTCACTATGCGAATAACCATTCAATTGTTTTGTCTGGTGAGGTTATGGCGGTGTCTAACTCAGTAGACTGCATGTCAATTAGACTCTTCCAGGCTCTAAAAAGGCGAAACCGCCAAAAGGCCAACTGTTGTGAATTATAAACGCTGCACTGACAATCTCGTGTTTGCTCATCAAGGAAAACAGTATTCGATTCTAGAAGAAGTTCTGTTCTAACGACCGTGTAATCAATATTTGGCGTCCTAGGCTGCAGCTCAACTTGGACGTGCTATCTCTACGAGAAAGATTCCCTCTAGGAGACCGCATATAAGGAAGACCATTCTGATAGAAAGAATCGCCGACTTTTACGATTTAGCAAAATATTCGCCACTCCACTGCTGTAAATTCTTATGGTAAAAGATTTTCTCGGGTTCTATAGTGTTTTCTTAGTTCATAGTATTTTATTGGTTTCAAATCAAACAATAGATCCATATAGCCCCATGAAAACTGTTTCCAGCTTGGCGAAGTGCAAGATCAGTCTCTTCTTATGCCAATCTTCGCACTATTCTTGAGTTCGCAGATAACGGCAAAGTCCGTGAATCCAACTAAAGTAGAACCAAATTGTGGTAAACACCAGTTGCAGAAAATCGAATAGAAGGACTTAAAACTATAAAAGTTGAAAGAAACTATTGGAAACAACCCAAAAGTGCTTTAAAAAGCACCTTCGAGATCCATGCATAAGCAGGGTCACATTTTCAGCACTGATGGATGAAGATAAGACTACTGCTACAGTTCTCCATAGATAAAGGAGGAGCTTCTGTCAGCCTGATTTTCTCCATTCTCCTCCAATGAACGGTCTCGCACATAGCCATCTTGCCAGAGAAAAGATTTGCAAAATCATCTTCAAAAACTGTGGTCCAGTTTACTTGCGGAGTGTGCTCTGCAAAACTTCCACAGAGATTGCCCTAATATGCATTCCACATCCATTAGTTAACAGTCAGTCGTTCCAGCAAACAAAACCTTTGCAAGGAGTCTCCTCAAGATCAGCACTTTTTTCTTGCTCTAATAATTTTACATTGGAAAAATTATTTGTTATCGGTGAGAGCAACGCGGTTCCACCTGAGCTAATTGACCAAGAAGTAAACCCACTTTATAGAAGAATTCCACCCTAATGTCCTATGTTCGTTTATTCTCCGATCCCTTAGCATCTCCACCTTGCCAAACTATTTATTTAAGTGGAAACTTCTTTATTTTCGGCGGAGACATCGAGCTATAGACATTTTGAGAAGTGCCAGTGACAAGGAGACAATGTTCAACGCTTAATCTCGATTGAATCCAAGAAATTCGATAATCGACCACCATAAACATGGAAGAAGAATTGTGGAAGAATAAGAGTAGCATGAAATGTGCTCCAGTCTTTATAAAACTACCGACTAATTGAAGAACGCAGAACTCCACATGCACCTTTTTTTCACCACGCGGTCCACCAAGTGTTTTGTTCTAAAAAACTGGTTGGTACCTCAACTGTTTTTAAAATTTTACGCGCCACAAAAAACACTTGAATGATGGTTGTTGAAATATAACTTACTTTCACAAGCTCAGGTATGACTACGTAGCTCGGGTCTTTGGAAAATGTGAAGATTCATGGACTTATAATACATCAAATGGTGGGTGTGGCGCAGTGGTCGGAGGTACCCTGCAACACACGTGTGGAATCGATCATAGCGCCAATGTTCGCCAAGTCTTCTATCCTATCGGGGTCGGCTAATTGGTACCAGAATTGTATGGGAGGATACCAGCACTGACTTGACCCATCGTAGGCAACTGCGAGTTATTGCATAGGCCAGATATGTATTCAGTCACCTCCAACTATGCTTAATGAAGTCGAATGCATAGCGCATCCCTCAGAGATCGATCAACGCTGAGAGCTTTATCCTTCTTATAATACATCAAAAAAGAAATATGGGAAGGTCATGTAGGGAGAGGAATTGAGAACATGAGAACGGTGGCGAGGTACATCCTAGAATGATTCAAGTGTTTTCCTTTATTGTGGGAGTAAGTAAATAATTAGTCGCTGCGTATGTAACTGAACACGGCCAGGTGTATGTGGAGCCGGAAATGATTTATGGATCCCATGATAATACGAAGACCGCAATGAATGACAATAGCGATAGAGTAAAACGAGTGGAGAGCCATCTGCCTTGCCTAAGATGGGCTACCCACTTTTCAAAACATCTAAGCAATTTCTCAAGCGATATCAGGTATATTTCATAACTTCGCAACATCTCTGTCTGTTTAGAGAGAATATTGAGTTTTAAAAGAATGAGTTGCTCACATAACGAGTATCAACTTGTGTTACTTTTCAAGTAATTTCTCTGTTGATTAGTGGGCTGTTAAGATTTTCAGGAAATCGAGTAGCTCATGTAATATAATATAATACGATATAATAATTTAATTACTTACTATAACTACTCATACAATCACTTACTGTCTGTATTGCTTCGCGACGTTATTTAGAAAATCTCTTCTGGCGATGTAGGCGGCGTCTCCATAACCCTTAACAAATTCATCTCATATAGCTAAGTGTAAAGACTTCTTCCCTAATGCTCTTAATGCAACTGCTAATTGTTAGGAGAGCTTTTCTAATTAACTGCTAGCTTTGCACCAGTAGCTTTTCCAAACAAGGCACCATGTATTATAAAATACGAAAATCGCATCGCTTTGCTTCATGAGTTGAGTGAAATGCATCATAAAAATATCTTAGAAGCATGTGTCCAGAAGTCGCATCTAAACGCATTAGGCAGAGATGGATAGTAAAGTTTGTACGTAAGACATGGGCCTTCATCAGAGAGAGGGTCGCTCGTGGACTTATTTCAGCATTTGACGACATGTATGTGGAGCCGACAAGCGAAGCTGGTCCTCTAAAAATTACTTGCGATTTTGTACAAAAGCTCCACATTCACTATTTAACACTCTTAGTTATAACGCAGTGCAATTTCAGAGAGTTCGATAAGAAGGTGCAGTATTAATTGAGCCGATGGCAACGAAATAGCGCTGCGATAAATTTATCATTTGAGACTATCGGCGTTTGGCGCAGTGATGAGGGATGGAGGTGGGGTTCTTAAATGATATTTTGCCCAACCAGAGTCGTGGTTATTTTTTGGTCGTTGTCAGCTGAATAAATTCTGTTCAAATCCCCAAATTCTAACGAAGCAATCACAGCGAAGAAACACTGTCACGAAATCGATGCAACGGATAGAAAACCCGCTGCGTGTGCCCATTTCTGGTCAGAGGAAAAAATCTGCTAACTTTGCAAAGTAACTATCACCTGACCACATGTTTCCCTATTTATTACGCAGAAATACAACGAATGATATTTCTGAAAACTGACTTTCATTGAACCACGGCGTAAATTGCTATCGTTTTCTTACAGTCGAGACACTTCGTTCATGAGGTGCCTCACTCCAGTAGGTTCGATTTGTTGAGAAGACGAAGTCCTACATCGGAATGACGAATGTCAGTGAAAAATGAACACGGATCACTCCGGCTATGAATAAGATGGAGGCACTGAGGCGTTAGCCGAAAACTTTTTGCGAACTTCGTGTTGACTTAATATTCTAAGGATATGGAGAGCATTGCGAAACTTCGAGTAATGTAGCACAGTCATATGAACTCCACTGAACAATCTTCTTCCAACCAGGCAGAAAACTACTTTAAGATATATTTGCTTAAGAACCTGATAACTTAGTAAAGATGCTTTCAGAGAATTCTCGCTTCCGGAACATCGGCATTTTATACTGCAATGAATAAAATTTCTTATTGCAGATAAAACGTGTGAATTCTAATGGTTTTTGCCCAGTAGAATCATCCACTTGCAAGATGACAATTCTCCCTCTGATTCAC